CCCCAAAACCCCAAAACCCCAAAACCCCAAAACCCCAAACTAACCAGTCGTAATTGAACATTTTCAATAAGTATGGTTATGAATCATTCTTTATTCAGATTTCCTCTAAGTTAACTACGAACTTATTCGAATGTTTCTTTCTCTTTTTCAAGAGAGTTTGGATGCTTCTGGTTGACCCTTTGGAGGCATCTCTAAGAGTAGGATGAGGATCATGGCCTTTTATGATTTTGCTGATACGTGCGATTGGTCTTAGAGGAACTTTACGTGGTGGGCTCTTCTCAAGTCTTGCAAAATTTTGGATACTTTTGCTTAAAAGTTTTTGCTTTATACTCAAATTTTTTGTGAGTTCTTCGTAATTTTCCTCCAAGCCAAGACATCTGTTCCTGTACTGCTCTAGCTGTATCTTCAGCTCATTGTTACGGTTTATGGTGTTCTTGATCTTTTTTTCTAGAGCAGAATTTTGTGTCTTCCAAAACCCATGAAAATCTATGTTATTCGGAGTCAACTCCTGCCTCTGGGGGTAGTCAGAATCCTTCTTGCATGCACTCGCATTAGCAAATTGGTCCTTTGTAATTTCTATATGATTCATAATGCTTCTCAGATGAATGTTTGGTAACTTTTGGTCAAGGTTTTTGTACTTATGTTCTGGAGAATAAATTGTCCTACTTTTTAAACCATCAAATGTCCTTGAAGATATAGATCCACCAGTAGGCAGCAGAACAGGATCGTTCATAACTTTCTTCGTGATTGGATCTGTAACAAGAGCCTCTGATTGATTGAAAAATGAAAGAAGTTTTTGCTCATATTCTTGAGTAACTTCATTTTCTTGTTTATATAGTTGTGTTACATGGTGCTGATTTTCTCTCTTAAAATCATCTATTTCTTTCTTTAAGTTATTGTTATCTTTCTTCAAGTTATTTCTCTGAGTCTTAAGCTTTTGAATCTTCAATTTTAATTCAAAGCCAGGGTCTCTTCCCTGCTTAGCATATCTCAAATTTTGCTGTTTTGGTGACCTCACAATACAACGATTTGTCTTTTTGTTAGGCCGTGGTCATGGATTTAGATCGGCTGAACTTCTTGTAGAATTTGAAGCCTCATGTCCCTTTGGAGTGTAAGTTGAGTAATTGGCTCTCATTCTTCTTTTGATTTGTCTTCTTGCAATATTCATATTGAATAATTTATAAACGAGGGTTCACCAATTGCTTTAAATTGTGGGGTTTTGGGGTTTTGGGGTTTTGGGGTTTTGGGG